CAAACCTGTAAAAATCGAATTCGTAAAATTAATTTAAAAGAAATTAAAATAAATATATATTATATGCATAAAAATACCTACCAAATAGAATCGGGGGAACGATCCGGATCTAAACGAGGTCGGAGACGACGTTCTGCAGACGCTAGAATCTCCTGCAACGATGGCGATGGCGATGCACCATGACTAGATGCACCTTCATTCACGGATTGGGGGGAAGCCGCACCCGTGAAACGTACATCAAGTCGAGGAGGATCGACAACCACCTGATCCCGATGGACAGATGGTGATCTAGATGATCCGATCCCACGTGCTCGGGATCGTACCCCGCTACCACTACGACACTAGAATGGGAGTGACTCATATACAAGTTACATATAACAAAACAAAATCATGAAAACCCGTGAACTAGCAGTAAACCCTAAACCCTAAACCGTAAACCCTAAACACTAAAGAAACCCTAAAATCTACAACCCTAAACCCTAAATAAATCCTAAATAAACCCTAAACCCTAAACCCTAAACCCTAAACTCTAAATAAACCCTAAACCCTAAAATAACCCTTAATTAACCCTAAACCTAAGAAAACCCTAAAATCAAAAATCCTAAAATGCAAAAACCCTAAACCCTAAACCCTAAATCCTAAACCCTAAACCCTAAGTAAACCATAAACCCTAATATTTTGATTTCGAGTACAATATTTGTAATACAAATCGGTATTTTATACATAAAAAAGTTATTATTAATCAAACGAACCATATTCAGAAGTTTCTGTTGTTTTTTCGTCCGACTCATCGGTATTGTCCTGCTCTTCGTCATTATTGTTTGCAAGTTCTTCAACTATTCCTTCTTCGGCTATTAACTTTCCAACCTCAATCGTGTCTTCAATTTGAAGAATGCCTTGATCGACATCTTGAAGCGGGATTTGTTCATCATTCTCTTCTTGAATAATAGTTCCCCTGGGGTTGATCTTCACGACGGCTCGCCAATCAATGTCTGACCTTCTTGTAATTTTCTTCGGATAAGGGATGTAACACACTTGATCTGCTTGAGAAGCCAATATAAAAGGATCATATTTTCTGTATCGACGTGTGTAACATATGTCAAAAACACCTGTTTTGTTGACTCTGATCCCTCGCATGGGTGTAGGATCAAACCAATCACACCTGAACATCATCACTTTAAGTCCAAAATGACCTGCATATTGGAGTTCAAAAATCTGCTGCAGTAGTCTGTAAAAATCGGGTTCGTTATCAGATGCACAGTACTCTGACCCTTTCACAGAAACACCAAAATTATGTGTCGAATGATGTTGTCTGTGTTCATGTGTGTGGAAAACGTAGCCTCTGGTAAAAAATATAGGCCAACATGTAACACGACAAATGGGCCCTTGAACTAGCTCATGCAACCATAATGGATGATCTTCTCGTGACGTTCGAATTTGCAAAACAAAAAAAAAATAGGTTGTTTAAATATCAATATATACTTGATCGATCTTAAAAATGGGTATAAATAAGAAATTTGATGAAAAATTCTTACATATTCTTTTAACCACGTAGCAAACCCTTTTTTTTTAATTTTGGTCAATTCCTCGTCATTTACGTCACCATACATGTTGTATACTTGTTCATCAAAAATCCTGCACAATATCAAAAAACTTGTAAATGAATTAATTTAAAAAAAGTGTACGCCATAAATAATTAAATGTATAAACGAACCTTTCAAAAGGTAGTACTTCTTCGCAATTCAACAATACAAAAGTATGTACCACATGATAGTCTTTTTCAGATAAGTAGGCATCGCTAGCCTTACCACCACATCTTCCTTTTCTGTAAAATATATGGGGAATATTTGCATTCGCCGGATAACTAGGGTCATCATCGCAATGGGATAATTTTCTTGTACTTCTGCTTTTTGTTGCCACATTATCTTCAAAATAATATGAGGTAAAGAATGATATTTCCTCATTGATATACTGTTCAGCAATTGATCCTTCAACAAAGGCTTTTTGTTTTGCCTCTTTCTTCAAATGGTACATAAATCTTTCAAACGGGTACATCCACCTAAAAAAAAATTAAACAATCATCAGTTATGTAAACAAGTATGCATATATATGTCTTATATATTAATTAAACGAATCAGAGTAATTAATTATAACGTACCGAAATTGAATTGGTCCACCAAGTTCTGCTTCTCGTGGTAGATGGATTGGTAAATGTTCCATCACATCAAAAAATGACGGTGGAAATATTTTTTCCAGATTGCAAATTACCAGAACTATGTTTTGTTTCAGCATGGTGATATCTTCAAGTTTAAGCGTCCGACTGCAAATCACCCGAAAAAATGAGCTGATCCCTGCACAATAACCACGTATCAAGTTTATATATATATAGTTCACATATTAAAAAACAACATTAAAAAAATATGTTGACATACCTGATAGACTCTCGTGTACATGTTGTGGAAGTAGTTCTGCAAATGCTATTGGAAGCAATCGTTGCATAAAGACATGACAATCATGACTTTTCATACCCGTTAATTTATTCCCTGCAATATCAACACATCGCGCCAGATTTGAAGAGTAACCATCGGGGAATTTCACATCATCCTTCAACCACTGAAAATTTTTTTTCTGCGCTTCTCCATATACACGAAAAACTGGAACCGGTGCCTTCCCATCTTCTGTAAGTTCCAACTCCTTCCTCAAACAAATTGATTTTATATCCTTCCTTGAGTTTGGATTGTCCTTCGACTTTTGAGGTACATTCAACACCGTGTTTATGATGTTATCGAAAAAGTTCTTCTCGATATGCATGACATCAAGATTGTGTCGCAACTTGTGATGTCTCCAATATGGCAATTCCCAAAATATACTTTTTTTGTGCCAATTATGATATTCACCATATCCTTCAATCGGCAAATGATCATTTCTACCGACTTCTACAGTAACCCCTAACCCATATGATCTCACACAATCTTCAATCCGTTCGAATAATATTTCATCTCCCGTTAGTTCAAGCGGACTAGAATCACTTACAACGCGATTCTTACGAAAATTCTTCTTGTTTCGGCGCAATGCATGATTCCTTGGTAAGAAACGACGATGACAATCAAACCAACTCGTTTTTCTCCCGTTCGGCAACCAAAATGCGTCGGTCTCATCTATATCAGTACGGACAAGCTAGCCGACCATGCGTTATCCAACCAGACAACATCGAGTATGCTGGAAAATCACTAATTGTCCACATCAGCACCGCACGAAGCAAAAAATTTTGCTTTATTGACACGTCATATGCCTCAACCCCAATACTCCAAAGGTCTTTCAACTCTTCTATCACGGTTGAAGGAAAATATCCAAACTCCTCCTAGGATGTTTAGGTCCCGGAACTAATATTGAGAGAAATAAAAATTCTCTATTCATACACATGTTCGGAGGTAAATTGTAGGGTGTTAAAATCACCGGCCATAGAGAATAATTTGGACCAGACATCCCAAATGGATTAAATCCATCCGTGCATAATGCTAGATATATGTTTCTAGTCTCACTTGCAAAATCAGGAAATACTTGTTGAAAGTGTTTCCATGCTAAACCATCAGATGAATGATGCATTTCTCCATCAGGTGTCGAATGCTCGCCATGCCATCGCATAAATGATGCTGTCTTTTCGGCTTGATATAACCTTTTCAAACGATCTGTTATAGGCATATAAAACATTCCTCTTCAAAGGAATTAACTTGCCTTTTTTGAAGCTTTCCGGCGTGGTCGATATCTGTCTTTCCCGCAGAAACGACATTCCATCAATTCTGCATCTTCTTTCCAAAAAATCATACAGTTCTCTTCACAAACATCAATCTTCTGGTAAGGTAGACCCAACGTACGCATCAGACTCTTCGTCTCATAATATGATTCTGTTGCATTGTTACCTTCCGGAAGATACTGTTTAAACATCTAACTGAAGCCATCCATACATCTCTCCGGAAGATTGTAGTCAGTCTTCATATTCATCAATTGTAAAGATAATGATAATCTTGACAGCCCTTGTACGCAACCTTCATATATCGGAGTGTTCGTCGTGTTAAGCATATCATAAAATCTTTTCGCTTCAACATTTGGCTCTTCTTCCATATATGGAGAAGGAGCAACGTTGGGAAATGCATCATTCACCATCTCTGCATATAGATTTCGGTCTTGATCTTCTTGAAAGATCGGAGGTAGCGACGTGTTTTCCACAAGTTGTTCTTGCATTTGTGAAACACGTGATGATGACGACGTATCATACGTTTCTCCATGAGCCAGCCAAACATAATAGTTTGACATAAAACCTCTTCTATAAAGGTGCTTACACACTTCATACTGACTTCGCCATCTTTTATTCTCGCATTTTGAGCACGGACATGGTAACTTCGAACTCTCAATATACGACATTTGACTTGTTGCAAACGCCATAAAATATTGTAATCCTTTAGCAAACTCACTCGAGATTTGATTAGAAGAATCAAATCTATTATACATCCACATTCTGGATGAAAAAGACATTTTTTTGTAAATATTTTTTTTTCGTTAATAATTTTTTTTCCTATCTATGCATGCTCATCGCGCGGCGTATATATAGGAGAAACGTTGCGACGGAAGTGCGACCGATATATTCTATCGTAAAATGATTTGCGACCGAAGTGCGACAGAATTGCGACAGAGGTTAGGTGACATACCATTCACGTGTGTACTTAATTTTGCGACACAGCGGTGAGTCACAAATCCGTCGCAAATATTGAGCGACTCATACAGTGTGTCGCATATCGGTCGCATACTATCCGCGACGCATAACATCTGTCGCAAATGTGTCGTACACGTAGCCCGACCGAACATATCTGTCGCATATTGTGTCGGTACATACCGACAGACCATCTGTCGTAAAATATCTGTCGTTTTCCGTCGTATTTCTGTCGCAAATACGTGCGACAGAGGTATCGGTCGCAAGCGATCGGAAATTTGCGACAGATTTTGCGTCCAAATCCGACAGAGATATTTTTCCGAGATTGTGTCGCTTTTTAGTCGCGGTCTGTCGCAAATTTTATTGCGACTGAAATTTCGGTCGCAACAGGTGTCGCAAATTACAGTTTTTCTTGTAGTGCTTGAAAATCTTGGACAATCAAGTAGCTCTCGCATCTTCCTCCTCGTCAAGACAGCAAGGCATGCTTCCCGGTAAGAACGAGATGAACCCTCGGGAACACATCAATGCAGTGGAGTTAAGGAGTGGGAAACAACTTCTGGAGATTACCCCTCCGATGGTTGAAAAGGCATCACCTCCAAGGCTAACAAGAGAGGAAAAAGAAAAATTTGTTGAGGAAGACATTCCTAAAGTACAAGAACAGGAGAAAGAATCGGTCTACATTCCTCCTCTGCCTAAGATACCTCCGATACCCTTTCCTTCTCATTTAAAGAAATTCAATGAGGACATCCAATTTGGAAAGTTTGCGGAAATACTGAAGAAGATGGAGATTACAATGCCTTTTCATGAGGCAATTCTTCAAATGCCCTCATATGCGAAGTTCTTCAAGGATATTTTGACGAAGAAACGGGTAGTTGAAAAGGAGACCGTAGCATTGAGCACCGAGATTAGTGCAGCCATCACGAAGCATGAACTACCCCCGAAGATGTCTGATCCGAGAATTTTCTCTATTCCATGCAAGTTGGGGAATATTGAAATTGATAGAGCATTATGTGATCTTGGGGCTAGTGTGAGTTTGATGCCACTGTCCATATACAAGAAGTTGAACATAGACGACTTAAAACCCATGAGGATGGCCTTACAACTAGTGGACCGATCTATCAAGTATCCAGCAGGGATTCTAGAAGACGTGCCCTTTAAGATTGGCGGATTCTATGTACCGGTGGATTTTGTGGTCCTAGATATGGATGAGGACTCCAAAGTTCCGATCATTTTGGGCTGACCATTTTTTAGCACAGGAGATGTCGTAGTTCATGCCCGAGCTGGTAGATTAACAATGAAGATCGGAGATGAAACAGTTGAATTCACACTTGATCAGAATTTGAAGCAACCCTCGACAAATGATACGGTATGGTACGTGGATATACTCGAAGCAATTGTGGAAGAAGTGATCGGAGAATTCCGCGAAGTAGATCCGCTAGAAGTATCCCTAATGGCTGTAGAAGCAAGTTTATATAGTAATTGGGAGGAGATCGAGGAGATAAGACGAGCGCTAGATGGTCGGGAAACGAAAAATGAAGTTTCTACATTATTTCAGGCGGCCCGCTCAGATTTCCGGGCGGCCCGCCCAGAATCGCTAGAATCTGAATTTGTGAACAAGAAAATGAGCGACCGCCCGCAAGAATGGGCGACCCGCTCGAATTCTCTGAGCAAAATCGACTCATCTTCGGAGGAAGTGAGCGATCGCCTCGAAATTCAGGCGACCCGCTCGAAAGTTCTGAGCAATTTCGACCAACCCTCAATGAAAACGAGCGACCGCCCGCAAGAGTGGGCGACTCGCCCGAAAAGTCTAAGAAATTTGGAATCAGAACTCGACGAAACGAGCGACCGCCCGCAAGAGTGGGCGATCTGCCCGAAATGTTTGAGCAAAATCGATCATCCTCCAGCTAAAACGAGCGACCGCTCGACAACAGAGGCGACCCGCCCGTTTTTACCCGGAGTGAAAAGTCTGCACCCCGGAGCCATCTTCTCTACTACCCACGCCATCCTTGACACGCCTCAAAACCCAAGAGGGAATACACATGCTGGTTGGGACCCCAAACATGCCCCGCAAGTGGAATTGAAACCTCTATCCCAAGGGCTAAGGTATGTCTTTCTTGGCTCGAATTCTACTTATCCCATTATCATTAATGATGCATTAGATGAGGATCAAGTAGAGAAACTCACCAAGCTGCTTAGGCAATACAGAGAAGTCCTAGGATACACTCTAGGAGACATAAAGGGTCTTAGTCCCTCTCTTTGCATGCATCAAATATATTTAGAGGATGATACCAAATCGTCAATCGAACATCAACGTAGGCTAAACCCGAACATGAAAGTAGTCAAGAAAGAGGTCTTGAAATTGTTAGATGCGGGTATCATTTACCTGTTATCGGATAGCTCTTGGGTTAGTCCGGTGCAGGTCGTGCTTAAGAAGGGAGGAATCACAGTCGTTCCAAATGAAAACAATGAACTCATACCGACTAGAACTGTTACGGGATGGAGAATGTGCATTGATTATCGGAAATTAAACACAAACACTCGTAAGGATCACTTTTCCCTTCCATTCATCGATCAAATGCTAGAAAGACTTGGATTGCATTCTTATTTTTGTTTTCTCGATGGTTACTCCGTTTTCTTCCAAATACCTATCCATCCGAGTGATCAAGAGAAAACAATATTTACACGCCCTTACGACACTTTCGCGTATAGATGCATGCCATTTGGATTATGCAATGCACCCGCAACTTTTCAAAGATGCATGATGGCTATTTTCTCCGATGTCATTGAAGATATTATGGAGGTGTTCATGGATGACTTTTCTGTCCATGAACCCTCTGATACGTGTGTACCGAGTCTAGAATTTATAACCCGATTCATAA